GGAGCGCCGTGAAACTACACGGTGCGAGTCGAGGAGCAAAGCACTCGAGGACTACCTTTGTTCGTGTGAAATCATACGAACAGATTAATTTTTTTTTTTTCGATTTTCCCATGTGAAATTTGACTAATAATAATTAGTTTTACAACAAAATCAAGTAATTGTTCAACAAAATTAAAATTAATACAGTACTACCTATGCCTAGAAGTCAACGTCGTCCAAAAAGCAAGTCGATCGGCGTAAAAATCTCGTAGAGGTAGTAAATTGGGAGCTGCAAAATACCTCCACTAAGGATGGAGACGAGGAAGAGGGCATGAAACCGGTACTCGTATGATCATAAAATGATCGTTATGTAGCGACATAGGAATAATACGTGATAACGCGGGGTTCCCAACTAGTGGTAGATAAGTGATGCTACCCTGTTCAGTGAATATTAATACCATTGCGTTGTATCTTGTAGCGATCGCCAACCCCATATCTGTTGACATCCATTTCGTCCGTGGCGCCGGTCCGCTCTCATGACTACATGTCAAGATATAATCAGCGACTGTATTGCGACCCCCCTCATCCCCACCGTAAATAGTAGCATATAGATTGTAACGCTCCATAAACTCCTCAACCAAGTCAGTTCTGACTTGTGGCCATCTCTCTTGACTGCCGTAAACAACTTCGGCTATGCACCGGTAGCCACAATTTCCATCGGCCCTCACATTAACATATGAGGCTACGGACTGTGCGAGAAACGGAGGAAGGAAGGAAAAGAAATTGACCCGGTCCCCGGCAGTAACAACTTATTCTTCCGTCGATTTAGTACGTCCGCGAGGACGACCTTTAACCTTTGACTCTGGCGTACCAGCTTTAAATTTTGACTCTGGCGTCCCTTCGGTCGGGGTTTTGCGACCCTTAGAGCCCGAAGAAGATTTAACTTCGGATTTCCGATTCATCATGTGCTCATATCCGGACAAGTTCCTCTTCGTCGAGTTATTCTTAGGTCGTCCCTTGGCCTTCACAAATGACGGCTCTTGTAAATGCGTTGAAGAAGGATTATTTAGGTCCCGTAAATAGTCGGCCGCATTTTTTAGGGACATGTAATCTTTGTTTGATAACTTCTCGAACTCATCGAGAAGA